ACGCAATTTTTCCTCATGAAAATATATTTGATTGTAGGACCAAATCAAATCCTGATGGCTCTTGTTATCAATTTAGTGTTGCAATTCTCTGCATGATAAATTAGGGAATGTGGATAATGACGAAGGTGGTTATTATCACACGTTGACTGTGCCCCTGAGAATATTCCCCGATCCTCTGACGTCAGACCAGATTTGCAATAGAAAATAAGTCTATACTAACTAATCTAGATGTCTATGCAAAATGAATCATACTTCTCGTGGACGGATTTTTATGTCTCTTTGGATAATTACAATTTATACAAGTATGATACACATTTTTTTTCATGCCTTATTCTTGATAAAATAAATATCACTTTGATTTAGGTAGGTATACTTAAAAATTCTTGAATATATTTGAAATCACTATAAGTAGTACTTATTGATTCTGTACTTGAGTCCACTGACTAAAGTACTCACGTTCCACCGTTGACCGAGCAATCTGGAGAACCGTACGCAATATTTTCGAAACGATAGATATCTGAGTTATTGAGGAAGCAATACCAAGCCAATAGCTTATTTTGTTTTTCCTAAGATAAAGCCGTATACTCCTTGACTTTATCAACTTTCTAAACACAAAAACGGTAAACTCTGAGCGAAATTTATTACGTCAAAATAACGATTTGATTCAAATTATTGACAACATTCAATATAACAATGTACAGAATGGCCGAAAAGCATACTATTATCCGATTAAAATTGGATAAGCACGACGTAAAACGCAACGAAGACAAACGGCTTTTCTTTTAAAGGTACCTATAAAGTTGGGCCGCTGACAGTTTGAATTTGAGAATTTTTGGAAGTTCAACTATGCTGCTCGTAAATTATCGAGAATAACCGAAACGTATCCATGGAATTATTGCAAAAAAAATGCGTCGACACAATTTATAGCTTTCGCTTCCTGACAATTGAAGATTTACGTATACTATCATAAAACGAATATTTGCTTCGGCGGTTAGTAAAAACAATTAATAGACGATAATTTAAATTGGTAGAGCGACTTAATTGGTCGATAAATCGGCGGCGACAAATAAACACATTCTCCAATTAACAAATCGTTGGAGTAGTTCCGCCATCTTTGAGAAAATACATCGCATCGTCTAATTAAAATAATCCGAATAGTAGTAGTAGTAAGTAGTAGTAGGGGCTTCGGTTTGATCTAGTCGGGATACTATTAGATCGGTGTGGCATGTATACCTATTGTGCGTTATATAATGGAATGCGACAGGAAAATCTAAATAATTAGCTAATGGATTCCATTGCAGTAATTGTTGACTTATAAAGAAGAAATAGGCATGGAAGAATCAAGCCAACGAATAGGTATTAGTAATTGAATCAATATAAAGAAATACAAAAACACAACAAGATTCAGCTGGCACACAAACAAATAAGTTCACCGAGAAACAAGGATGGGAGGATTGTTTCAAACATAGAAAGACTGAGAAGAAGATAATGGAAGAGCATTTTGCTTACATAAGGCAACAAAATAGGAACATAGGCTCTGGTGTAACTAACAATGAAGTGCATGCCATAAACACTTGAAAAACAACCTGTCCAGAGATGATAAAAGATTCTCCAAAGACCAAGATCATTTGCCCCATATGTCAATATTTCTTTGTAGGTATCCGAACAAAAAGAGGATGCAACAATTACCCACATTTCATAACAATTTCCCAAAAAAACAAGCAAGAACGGCCAAGTGCAAGTGACCATTCATGGGATTTAGCTTATAGGTCTTCCTTATAGGCCGTCCTTAGTCCCTTAGTAGCACACCATGGTCCCGAAAAACACGATAGTGTGAGAATCTCTCCACTTAAATCACCGCTCATGCGACCTATCAATCAAATTAGGTCCCAATAGATTTCAAGCTTTTCACATCAGCGATCGAATCATTCAGGCTTCAAGCCTGTAGTGCTTAAGTCATCGATTGCTTTAGTGTCAGCTCATACACCATGGCCGAAAGTGTATTACATCTCATATTTCTATATTTTTGCTTGTAAATAAAAGCTTTTATGTTGATGTTCCTACATCTTAGAGATTTAGCTATTTTAAGTCGTCTCCTGTGGATTTGTAGCGATGGAGCTTCTTTACTAGGATTCTGCTGACAATCTGACTCATCGGCAAAGGGCTCATGAATTATTAGGCCGCATTTCAGAACAATCTTGGCTTTGGGGGATAAGCTCATTGATTGTCTTTTCTGAATCTTCGGGAGCTTCCTCTTGAAATCTCTCCCTGTTGAAAAAAGGCAGACAGACAGATATTCCTGTATTGGAATTTTTTGGCATTTATTGAAATTTATTGGAATTTTTTGGCATTTTTTGTATAAATATTGCCAGCAATTAGGGCTTCGCCAGACCACAAGATTAGGTCTTGGTAGCAGGACCAAGACCAAAACCTTATAAATCTTCTCAAGACCAAGACCAAGACTCTCTCTCGAGACTCTTGTCTTGATCTTGGTCTTGAAAAGAAAAATCGACTCAGAATCAGAAATGAAGTAATTTTGAAATGAAATAAGAAGCTCTCTACCAAAACACGAACCCTACATCTCACCCAAACTAACCCAAATCTAATTATTGTGAACAGGCCAATAAAATTCAAATGAGCTATGTGACTATGTGAGGGACCTTTGTCTGGCCTGAATGCTCAGGTAGGTGAGGTAGGTTTATTCTTATGGTTCAAATTTATTTTTTTCCTCGTTACAGCATAGCAATTTGTGTTTGTCAACTTTCCTGTTCCGTTAATAAAAATTCTAATTTAAGAATTGATGTTTGTTTGTTCCTCTGTGTTGTGGAATGCTTTATGCGGTATTTTTTGACATGAAATGTTCTTGCTGGTAAAAATAGCCTGTGAAGAAAACCAAATGTATGGTCGAAACGTCGGCATATTTTTCCAGAAAGGAAGTTTTATTTTTTATGTTTGAAGTCCTAAACCCATTATCTCTGCTCTGTCGTTATGTGTTATGCATATTTCAAAAATTTGGTATAATTTTTTTTCAAGACTATCAAGACCAAGACCAAGACTGCGCCAGTCTTGTCTTGGTCTTGACACATTAAGACCATGACCAAGACAGCATTTATTTTTCGAGACCAAGACCAAGACTGGCCAGTGTTGGTCTTGCTCTTGCGAAGCCCTACCAGCAATTTGTTTTCCCTTAAAGTCTCTAAAATAACTCAGACAGCAGAGAGGCATCTTAAAGACGTCCCTAAGACGTCCACAAATGACATTCGAGATATCTTCTAGACGTCTACCTAAAGACTGAGACATTCTAAAGACGTCTTCAGTGAGATGTCTTAAGTATTCAGACGTAATGCAAACCTAAAAAGACGTCTTTAAGACTTTGTATGCTGTCTGGGTTAGAATTGAAACGAGAGTCTGAACAAAAATCCAGAAACATTTCAGCTGATACACTTTCCAGGATATCAGCTGCTATTTAGCCATCAATATCAGAGAAAAAATTGTATAAATTACACAAAATGTGTCATCCTGGTGTCACAAGATTCTATCATTGGATTGGATGCAGAAATTTACCTTATTCACTAGAAGACATCAAAACATCCCATGTCCGGTTTGTTCAGAGATAAAGCCAAGACTCTATAAAAACAAAGGAACTCTTATCAAAGCTATACCACCATTTGAAAGATTAAATATTGACTTTAAGGGGTCCACTGCCTTCCAACAATCACAACAAATATTTATTAGACATTGTAGATGAATAATTAAGATTACCGTTTGCATTTCCATGTTCAGATAATATGTCATCTGCAACAGTGATAAATTGTTTGACTCAACTATTCTCAATGTTTGGCACACCAGGTTATATTCACATCGATAGAGGGGAATCTTTTCTACCTGTTGATTCGAAATCACTTTCAACAAGTCATGGAGTTGCCACAAGTCGTACAACTGGTCTGAAACATCAACTGGTAAATATTAGTATTTTGTTGTCTCAATATCATGATTATGTACTACATATTTTATTTACGACCCACACTGTGAGAGATTATTACGTAACTCATTTTAGCCGGTTTGAGTTACGTAATAAGTTGTATTATCGTACTTAGTGATGTAATGAGCTCATTACATCACTAGTGATGTAATATAAATAACTTGTGATGTAATGGAGCTCATTACGCAACTCGTTTTCATTGAAAAACGGCACTTTTTAAAATTCATTTATTCGAAAAAATCTGGTTCGTACATAAAATGTTAATCACACGTACGGCAACGTTCATTACACCACTCGTGTGATTACCACGACTCGGTCTACGACCTCGTCTTGGCAATATTCCCCACTCGTTACTATAATAAAGCTTATACCGTACTAGTAATATAAATAACTATTTTATGTTCTTGTATCATTTTTTAACTACCACTCCGTTTGGGGGGAGAACTGCAGGGATCTTCCGACAAATACTACCAACCTAAGAAAATTACGGCAATAATAGGTTGGTAGGACTTGGTGGGTAAATAACCAGCTGCTTGAAGGATGTGAAATAGGAAGTGTTTTGTATGTTAATTGTAACCAATTTTACCTCCTTCTGTTGAAACTCGAAATAACAGTAATTAATAATATTGTGTGGTGCAGATACCCACATAATTAGTGACCCTGACATGATCGGCAAGAGAAATATTACAAAAAGATAAAGTGAGGCTAGATAGCCTAGAAAAATAATAACGTCGATCAGCGAACCTAAAAAAACTACTAAAATTTGCAAAAATGCTTGTAGATTCAGTCACAGTAAAATATATGGAAAATGAATGGTAAGGAGGTGTAACTGGCGATAATGGTGGGCCTCAACAGAATGCAAATCTCCCAGATGTGTCATCAAGTTACCCATTACCAGACAACGTATTATCTTCAAGAACCCTGGTCAAGAACAGCCTAACACAGCAGGGGCTTCTCCAAAAATCAGTTCGTTGGAGACATTGCACCTAGCACAATTTTCGGCAAGTTAGCCACGTTTATGGTTCACCCCAATCGAAGCATAATTTCTGTTGAGAACATTGTTGAAACTCCACCAGCAACAGATAAGTATCAAGCACTAAAAGACGGCTTGTTAAACCACTACTCTGTCTCACAGGATGTGCAATTTAAGAAGTTGGTTTCTGGTCTTGAACTGGGGCATAAACGACCCTCAGAACTTCTAACAGAAATGGCCAAAATAGGTGGCAATCAACTGACCGAAAACTTTTCGAGAACTATCTGGACTGATCGTCTTGCGGGCAATGAAAATAATGTGGCAGACGCCTTATCCAGAATGGATGCCCTTAGATTTCCCACAGTAATTGAATTCAATGAGCTGGCCGCGGCACAAGAAGCCGATGATGAGCTCAAAGACATTTTAAAAAACAACCAAATCTCACTAAAGTTCCAGAAACTCACATATTATTATATGGAGCAGTCCATCAAGGTGTCTACTGTGACGTATCCACTAATGATATCAGACCCTTCGTGTCACAAACGCTGCGCCGCTGCACCGCGCGGTTTTTTTCCACAAGTTGGCATATCCCAGTGAGCGAGTCACTAACAAGATAGAGTCTCAACGGTATATTTGGCCATCTAAGAACAAAGACATAACACAGTGGGCTCGAAAATGCTTGGCATGCCAAAAATCGAAGGTAGGACGCCAGTCTGTAATCTTTTTCAACTCAAATCAACGATTCGATTACGTACACATCGACCTGGTGGGACCAATGCCCGAGTCTCAAGGTTTTTGATACTGCATGACAATGATCGATCGTTTCACAAGATGGCCTAAAGCAATACCCATAAAATATATCACAGCAGTCACAGTGGCCAACATACTCTTCAACCATGGGATTTCGCGATTTGGAACCCCCAAAATAGTCGGACCTCAAATCATCAATTATGTGTCAACAAAATCCTCAGTGGATTCAGGTACTTCAAACAGTTCTACTTGGACTCAGAACATGCTACAAAGAAGATTTCAAGGCATCTCCAGCAGAATCCATGTATGGAACAACACTAAGAGTCCCTGGCGAATTCTTTATTCAATTCACGAAGACCCACCAAAGGAACCACAGTATTTTCTCGAAGACTTTCGCATACATATGAGAAACGGAAAGCCACTATCGCCAAAAGACATTCTGCTACAAAGATTTATACACCTGTACACATGTTTTCTTGCGAGTAGACACAGTGTGAACAACGATATACAGGACCACACCCAGTAATTAAAAGGCTGGATGAGAGAGTATTTCAAATCAACGTTAACGGCAAAGAAGTGAACGTTAACATCGAAAAGGTTGAAACCAGCTCATCTCAGGTCGATAAACCTAGCAGTCCCAAGTTGGAAAAAAACTTTATAATAATTAGGTGCTTTTTAGGTGGTAATTAGGGCCTCTAATTAAAAATTAGGTGCTACTCCTTCAGTTTTTGAGAAAATCAAAAAAAAACTAAGTGACTGCTAGGTTTATAAAAGCTAGCAGTCCCTTATAGTGAAAAATATTTTTTCAAAATTTTCTTTTGTATCAGAATTAGGCGCTTTTTAGGTGCTCTTGAATAGTCGAAGAAAAAATAGAATTGATTAATTATTAACTGAGTTACAGATTTTTTTATAATTATTAGGGGACTGCTGGCTTTACCTTTCTTTTTGGTGTCAGAATGGCAAAAAAACTTCGGGATCTATATAATAATTAGGTGCTTTTTAGGTGATAATTAGGGTCTCTAATTGAAAATTAGGTGCTCCTTTAGTTTTTGAGAAAATTAAAAAATACTATGGGATTGCTAGGTTTAGGAAAGCTAGTAGTCTCCTATAATAAAAAATATTTTTCCAAAATTTTCTTCTGTATCAAAATAAGGTGCTTTTTAGGTGCTCCTAGATAGTCGAAGAAAAAATAGAATTGATTAATTATTAACTGAGTTACAGATTTTTTTTAAATTATTAGGCGACTGCTGGCTTAACGTTTACATGTTGGTGTGTCAGAATGGCAAAAAGACTTCGGGTTCTATATAATAATTAGGTGCTTTTTAGGTGCTAATTGTTGGGAAATGGACTAAGAAATAAAAGAACTTGTTAATTATCGATATTCAATATATTTATTATATCGAACACAGCGTGGAAAGCAGAGCGTGTGAACTCATAGAAATAACTATACGAACTGACTCAACATCAAGACAAAGAATTACAAACCCTTTCTTAAGTAAACGATTCCTCATCTGTTTATCTTACATATAAAAACTATTATAAACACATTCAGTCATCCATAGCTGCGATATAAATTAGCAAAGTATAGGCTAATAATCAAAGTTTAATTTATTAATTTTTGTTTCACTGATATAAATATCAGTTTATCCAACACTAATTAGGGCCTCTAATTAAAAATTAGGTGCTCTTTTAATTTTTGAGAAAATCAAGAAAAACTAAGGAACTGCTAGGTTTATGAATTCTAGCAGTCCCCTATAGTAATTTTTTTTTAAATATTTTTAATTAGTGGCCCTAATTAGCACTTAAAAAGCACCTAATTGTTATATAGATCCCGAAGTTTTTTTCCATTCTGACACACCAACAAGTAGGTAAACGTAAAGCTAGCAGTCCCCTAATAATTGAAAAAAAAATCTGTAACTCAGTTGATAATTAATCAATTCTTTTTTTTCTTCGACTATTTAGGAGCACCTAAAAAGCACCTAATTCTGATACAGAAGAAAATTATGGAAAAATATTTTTCACTATAGGGGACTACTAGCTTTCATAAACCTAGCAATCCCTTAGTTTTTTTTTTGATTTACTCAAAAACTAGAGGAGCACCTAATTATTATATAGATCTCGAAGTTTTTTTGCCATTCTGACACACCAACATGTAAACGTAAAGCCAGCAGTCCCCTAATAATTAAAAAAAAATCTGTAACTCAGTTAATAATTAATCAATTCTATTTTTTCTTCGACTATTTAAGAGCACCTAAAAAGCACCTAATTCTGATACAAAAGAAAATTTTGGAAAAATATTTTTCACTATAGAGGACTACTAGCTTTCATAAACCTAGCAATCCCTTAGTATTTTTATATTTTCTCAAAAACTAAAGGAGCATCTAATTTTTAATTAGAGGCCCTAATTAGCACCTAAAAAGCACCTAATTATTATATAGTTCCCGAAGTTTTTTTCCACCTTGGGACTGCTAGGTTTATAGACCTGCTCATCTCGCTAGTGACGACGTTTTCAACACTACAAATTTACCCATAGTACCCACAACAGACTCTACTCAACCATCCACCTCAAAAAACACAGGGCTGAGAACATATTAGAGGAAGAAGAAAGTCAGAATAGCTCTCAACAAAAATAAGACGATACCAATAATTTCACATTCATATAGAACATCAACTGGTAAATAGTACGTATTTTGTTTTCTCAATCTCATAATTATGTACTATGTTCTTGTATCATTTTTTAAGTACCTACCATTCCGTTTGGGGGGGGGGGGGAGCACTGTAGGGATCTTCCGACCATGCTACCAACCTAAGAAAATGACGAAAAGAATAGGTTGGTAGGACTTGGCGGGGAGATAACCAGCTGTTGAGCTGTTTGAAGGATGTGAATGTGAAAGAGAAACTGTGCAAAAATGAATAAAAAGTGTTTTGTATAATAATTGTGACCAATTTTACCTTCTTCTGTTGAAATTTGGAATAACAGTAATTAATATTATTGTGTGGTGCAAATCCCCACAGTCTGTCGATGGATTTAATCATCAGCGATACGACCAATCCAAAAAACATCTAATTATTTCCATATAATGGAAAACTCCTTTCGAATATAACGATTCGTCTTTTATTTTCCTTCAAACTAATCTTTAAAGTTCGTTTTACGGTCGTTCTGGCAAGTCTGAAAGCGTCTTGTATCAGGGAGGCGCGGCACCGCAACAGGCAGTAAAATCAAGCAATTCCACTTAAATTGAGACAATTAAAATATTTCCGTAATTTCTACACTAGAATCTCCGTGTGGTCTGCGATCGTCAAACGGCGCAAAAAGGCACGACACCCAATAAAATAGCGCTGCGCGTTCGTTTTTATTCGCACTTTGGGAATTTTAATCGTAACACCAGCGGAATCTTCCCGCACTAAGTGTGCCATAAACTCGTCCAGTTACACGATGAAAAATCTTTATTTGGTCCGGAACCAGTATACCTACTTGTGCAGTTTTATTTGTTGAACTTGGTTGCGAAACTAACATTTAGTCGAGTTCGGATGTGGCTCGCGTGGTCCAATTTAAAGCAGTTTTTAATCCAACTTAAATTATACACTCAGCATGACTAATTTATTTCTTAATTGGAAAATAATGCTGTAACGTCCATTCAAGATTTTGATGTATTGTATGATAATAACAGATTTTTCGAATTTGCCCACCAAAGTAATGAACGTGCAAGACTTGAAGTATGGTAGCTTCACTTTTCCAAGATTAATGGTGATAATTTCGATGGACGATTACTGCAAATTTCTTGAGCTTTCCATTCCGATTCGGAACAATCGTAGCGCCACATGAAAACACTTCGTGCTACCGTCGTATAGACCGTAAATAAACCGGCCAATGCAAACAGTTATAACAATATCAATAGATTGTAAATGTGTTCACCCCTATTGAAAAGTACGGCCACTTCATACGGTCGTCGGCTAGAGTTTATGGTGGATTGTATGCAGATGAAAGCGGCTTGTTTGTCAACTATGTTTTATACCATTTGAGATACTATATAGGTATTAAGGAAATCAAGACCGATTATCATAGGCTTATACCCTGTGATTTTATATTATGAACATAAAATAATTTATCAAGAAATATAATGCATTGACATTGTTTCAGCTTTTCGAAAGGAATAAAACATATTACATATGAGGATTGTCCAGGTAGATGGCACATTGTAATTGGAGCAAAGAGGCCAGTCAACATTAAATTTGACATTCGAGAGTCAGAAATGAGAAAACCTTGTATATATATTGGTATTGTCGAAGTAAAAGAAAAAAAATCGAACCACTCCGGATATGTAAGTACTATGTACATAGAATGTCTCGTACGTTCTGAAGAGTCCTGTCTGGAAGAGTTCATGATGCAAAACTTGTTCACCATATTGTTCTTTCAAACACTATTAAACAAAAACTCATTTCTGTTTTTGAAATTTTAAAACATTTAATCAAGACTTAAACTTTATTGGTCTTGGTACCAAATAACATAAGCTTAAAGATTCCTGTTACAAACCAATATGTTGCCGGTATTGGTTCGTAATGGATTTCTATGGTAGCAGGACAATCGACTGGTGATGTTACTTTACTACTGTTACATCTTTTCGATTCATGCATAGTCAAGAGTCATTATTCAAATTTTTTTCATTTGGATCATCCTATAAAGTTTCCACATAACTTCTCGTTGTCACTCTATAAAATTTATCGCTGAAAATCGACTACGA